TTTAAACCCCATTACCTGAAAATGAAAATGGGAGGAATAGTATTTTTTTTAGAAAAATGAGTGGTTGAAAAAGAGGAAAAGTTTTCGATTTACGTGTAATATTATTTTATGGAAGATTGTGTAGTTGAAAATTGGAGAAAGAAAAATGGAATGTAATATAATTGAATTTAATGGGGATCAAACGGGGGCTTATTGTATTTATCATTTTAGTCCCCTAACTTTTCAAATTTAAAATATAGTATAAAAGTAAATAAATTCTAGTATATGCGAATTTTTGGGAGTTTACAGTCTTCCCTCCTTAAATATTTTCGTTCTTGAAAATTACGTTGGCTAATTGAATAGTTCTGAATACTTGTTTTTAAGCTCCTCTTCCTTCTCCCATGTTGACTCATCTCGTCTATGATTTCCCCATTGCACTTTGACCTGGGAAACTTCTTTATTTCTGATTTGATGTACTTTTCTATCCAAAATCATCATTGGGATTTCTTCATATGATAGATCTTTTTGTACCTCTAAAGCTTGGTAACTTACAACATGATTGGGATCATGGACATATTTTTTGAGCATTGAAACATGGAACACATTATGCACTGCTGCTAGTTCAGGTGGTAAGGCACTTTTGTAAGCCAATTTACCAATCCTTTCAAGAATTTCAAAAGGTCCAATGAATTGCGATTTCAACTTCCCTTTCTTTCCAAATCTCTATACACCCTTCATTGGTACTACCTTTAGAAAAATCATGTCCCGCACTTGAAATTCTAAATCTTTTCTTTTACCATCAACATAACTTTTTTGTCGTTCTTGTGCTGTCTTTATTCTTGCTCTAATCTTATCAACTGCCTCATCTGTTCGTTCAATTATTTCTGGACCCAAAATTCTATTCTCTCCGACCTCATCCCAATGGATAGGGGATTGCACTTTTTACCATAAAGAGCTTCATATGGGGTCATGCCGATACTGGGCTTGAATCTATTGTTGTAAGCAAACTCCACTAAAGATAGGTGTGTCTCTCGACTACCGCCAAGATCCAAAACACATGCCCTCAAAATATCTTCTAGAGTTTGAATGGTTCTTTCTGATCGTCCATCCATCTGAGGATGATAAGCAGTACTAAACTTTAGTTTCGTCCCCATGGCTGCTCGCAAACTTTTCCAAATTTTAGATGTGAACATCAGGTCTTTATCTAAAACAATGGTGACTAGAGCTCTATACAATTTGACTACCTCTTTGATGTATAACTACTGTTCCATGTTGAAATTTATTTTGATTGGTAGAAAATGGGCTGACTTCGTCAGGCGATCAACCATTACCCAGACCTCGGGAGGCTTACTACAAAGTCCATCATTATGTTTTCCCATTTCCATTCTGGAATATCTAATTGTTTCGATAGTCTTGACGACTTTTGATGTTCTACCTTGGCCTGTTGACAAACGATATATTTCTCCACGAACAAACCAATTCCTCTCTTCATGTTTCTCCACCAAAATATAAATCGAAGATCTCGATATATTTTCATACCACCTAGATGTGTAGAATAAGGGATAGAGTAAGCCCCGTCCAATATCTTGTTTCTTATACTTTTATCCCTAGGTACACACATTCTTCCATTAATAGTCAGCACGTTATCTACAGGTACTTCAAACCCTATACATTTATTAGTACCAATTTCGACCTTTAAGTTCTATAAAAATGGATAAGTCCTATGCCTCCTTGATTTTGATCCCAAAGTGTAGGTTGAATCATGAACGCTTTTATTTTGCTGTAATCTGAGTCAGTGGTGTGATAACTTCCAATCTCAAATTTTCAAAGTCCCTTATCAGGTGTTCCTGCACTGTGGATAAAACTGCTAACCGCGATCATGTCTTCCTACTTAAGGTGTTTGCGACTACATTGACCTTACTCAGATGGTAATTAATTGTATAATCGTAATCCAGCACCTCGATATCCTACGTTGTGAGATAAATCAATTTTTGACAGACAAAATCCAAATGCAAGTTCCAAACTTTTTTTTTTTTTTTTTTGTATATGTTGCTGCTATCACCGTATTTGAGTATCTAAATTTTCTAGGATAAATAATAAAAAATTTTATGGCATTTAAAGGTGAAAAAGAATATTGAATTTTAGTAGGCATAAAAGTCTGTCAAAAAGCCATGTCTTTTCCGTAAAGAGTCTCAATTCCATACAATCATTATTTCTTCCCTATCTAACCAATACATGGTAGTCTATCACTATCATATGCGAAATATAGGCAAATAAATCATTTTAAAATAAAACTACCTATCCATCATTTAACATACACGTGCACTAACCCCAAAAAATTCAAAATCAAAATGAAACACTTCATACACGTGACACGTGGTGGGGTACATTTTCATCCAATGTTTCAATCAAATTGCAAAACTAATTTTAATCAACTTCTTCAAACTGAAATATCTTGTAGTTGATTTATTAGAATCGACTTTTTGTCGAACATAATATGAATAATTAATTACTAGTTATCCAACGAATACAATATTGATATATTTATCATTACTCGATCAATATTTAAATATTTAACCCAATTAAAATTGAATTTATTGTATTTATCATTTTAGTCCCCTAACTTTTCAAATTTAAAATATAGTATAAAAGTAAATAAATTCTAGTACATGCGAATATTCGGGAGTTTACAGCCTTGGTTAAGAATAGCAATCAAGGGCCAGCTACTCATGATTTAGCCCTCGTTTGATCCCCATTAAATTCAATTACATTACATTCCATTTTTCTATCTCCTATTTTCAACCACACAATCTCCCATAAAATAATATTACACGTAAATCGAAAACTTTTCATTTTTTTCAGCCACTCATTTTTCTTAAAAATACTATTCCCCCCATTTTCATTTTCAGGTAATGGGGGTCAAACGGGGGCTTAGTATAAATTACGCTATATGAGTCACGGAATGTTTTCTACGACAACTTTTGCTCATTCATCACATTGATAAACTCGTAACACTATTTCTTTAGTTCAGAAAGTACAACATAACAACAAGATATTTGTCCCCCATAATATCGTCAAAACTTATATTTATCAAAAAAAAAAAAAAAAGGAGGACAATATAGTTTGTCATAATAATTATTCCAATAAAGTTTTGCGAGAAAATTATTTGTTGTGAACACTATTTTAAAAGTATAACTTGTGTTATCTATTCTATTTTACAACGATATAGCTACCCCTTTTAACAAGTCATGTTTGTCGCATAAATTGTTCTACAATGAGGTTGATGCGTTGCATAATATATTTTAAAATATTCAATGTTTACAGTAAAATTTATTAGGTAACAAGTTGTGTTTTATTTTGTAACACAGGGAGCTGGTGTCATTATTTGTACAATAATACACTGTTTTTGCCTAATTTATTTTGTATTTATTTATATATGTAGCATATTCTATTTCACATCATATAAAATTACTACACAAATTATTTTGAGATAACGAATATTCTTTATGTGACAAATTGTGTTTGTAACTACGTTTATTTCGCAACATAAAGTTTGATGCTTCACCATTTATGCAACGATATATAGTTGTTGCTAATTTATTTTGTATTTATATATGTCATGGATTTTATTTTACACACAAAAAATAGAGCTGACTTTTGTTGATAATAGAATTTTCCCACGAAAA